CCTTCCCCCCATTTGCAGCAAATCAGTTTGGAAGCCGCAGGGCTTCTCCCAAGACTTTTTGGCTGGTGGTGGTTTTTTTTCAGTTCAGAGTGTCTGATGTAGGAGGACAACTGTGCTGTAGCCCACCATAAATGGTGTTTCTGTAATTTGAAAGGCTGGGTATGTCCTGGAGCGTGGAAGAAGATACCCTTGCAAAAGAGAGGCCAAGAGAGGCAGTATTTTGGATGAGGAGAAGGAACTGGAGCTGATCTGAGGCCATGACTTGCCAGCACACCTGGTGAAGTGACTCAGTAAAACCCTGTGTGGACCCAGGGAGTCTCTCAGAGCTCTGAGGAAAAAGGCTACGTGCTCACAAAGACACACATGCATAAACCCAGCGAGGAGTCTCCTCCCTGCTCTAGCCTTTAGGCAACCTGCAGGCACACTCTCTCCCTGATGCAGGACTGCCTCTGTAGGGAAGCATGGAATCTGTAATCCCCAGGGATTATACCCTCCAAGAAGCAGGGTCAGCCCTAAATCACAAGACTTGGAGAATCACTAAACATGGGAGAACAATTTAACCTAAAACCTTCCTCCATTCATGAATTCAAACTAGATAAATTGCCTACAAAAGGGAAATCTAAGTGACTTGAAGGTCAGTAAACTCTTACTAATTAAATTCTTACCAAATATAACCTCTCAACATTGTGTTATTTAGTGAAACTCCTTAAAAGGCAGAGCCCCTTTCAACTGCCTAAAAATCCTGCTGATGATATCTTCAACATTTCCCTAAGCTTGTTTATAGAAAGAAGGAAGTTTCTCTCTCAATTACAATTAAAATTTTCTAATGGCTGCAAAAGTCATTTACTGCTTATGGCTTCTGCTTTCTTTCTGTCTTAGCACATTCCCAAGCTGGAAGAGTAGTAATTTATTGTTCCATGTGTTCACTTTAATAGTCTGGTATTTTAAATCTGTGACACAGAAGTGATTCAGCTTGAGGGAATACTAACAAGGTTGAGAAATGGTTCAGCTACTGGCTCCAAGTGCTTCACTCATGCTTCAAATACCAGTGCAGGGCATTATCTGACATCTGTGCACCCACAGTTTAAGGTGATAATCTGCTAATTAGGTTAAAAATTAACCTGACACCGTCCCATGTATAAAGCAGCACAAAGGAGAGGTTAAGTTCTAGGTATAGACACAAGCATATGAGGTCAGGGATCAAAGGTGGGGGTTTTTCTCTAAGAAAACTCATAGTACAGAGAAAACTCAAAGCACAGTAGTACAAAATTCAAAAACCCAGTCCAGAAAACTGGCAGGATTTAGATTTCTTTTTTTTTCTGGCGCATTATAAAAAAGTGGCAAATACAGTGGGATGGCCTGTCCACATAAGTCCCAGGGGAAAGGGAGGGATACTTCTTAGAAATGAAGCCAGCTCAACCCCGGCCCAAAACAACCAACCTCTCACAATTCTTCCTACCTGGCTGCACATCACAGCGAGACCACAAGGTGGGAGCATAACCCAAGAGTTGACGTTTCATGCCAAAATTCGAGATCACTGCACGCAACAGCTAAGGCCGGACACAGCGCATTTGTAAACATAACACCATATGATCAAGCACTGGGCTTAATCCAGTCTTAAACTGACAATGAGATGGTACCACTAACTAATACTGTTTGCTTCCACCCTTGCTCTATAATGGCCTACCAATTCTCAGATGCAATATGGGGAGAAAAGCAGGATTTCCCACCTTTACAGATAGGCAAATTATTATTCTTCCCATCTGCCTAAGTAGGGAAACTGAGGCAGAGTATGATAGGCTGCTTTATGCCGAGATGAAACAGATGAGGGCTTGAGCAAAAAACTGGGAGTACAATGAAAGTTGAGGCATGCCCTAATCTCTACAAATCTCCAGAACAACCTTTCCCACGTTTTACCCCTTTCACCCATCAGCTCTCAGCCAGATGGCCCATATACAAGGTAACCTGGTTTCATCTCCAGCAGCCCTGTGTGCATGAAGTTTCAAAAGTTCCAAAGTTTCAGAAAAAGCCACTGCAGCTGTAGCTGGAGATGTTGAAACCAAAATGGGAAGAAAGCATCACTGAAAAGTAATCACAGCTTCTCCACTTGTCTATTGACTTTCTTTCTTGGGCTCTATTTCTAAGATTAACTGCCTAAGCAATGTTTCTTACTGGAAGGGGGGGAAGCATCTTACTTCACAGAGATCTTTGTTCTGCAGCAAACAATCTCTCTAAAGCCTTTAACCCAACAGACTGCAAGCCACAGGGACTGTAACTAGCTGGTCAGAGAGGTGATGAGCACTGCCAGGGTGACAAGCCCTGGTATGGAAGGGCAGCAAAAAAAACAGGCCAAAGAAACTCCCTCAGCAGTTTCTACACCAGACCCAGAGTTACAGCATATCTTACACAAAGGAATTCCTTGCACAGGGAAAGGCTGGACATGAAAAGCCTGTTACGTCTTGCTCCGCTGCTGGAGGAGGGAGACATCCCCATGTTGCATTTCTAGTCGGCACTCATCCAGCTCTCCCAGCGTTTGAATCACACCCTGCTTCCTTTCTATTATCACACATTTCTCTCCCTGTACAGGTTTGCAGACCGTGATCAGATCAGCTTTTAACCTTCTCCCAAAATTTCATTTCACAAGCCCTTTGTCAGCCTCTGGGAACCTTTTCTGAATTTCTCAACTACTGAGAAGCGACTTTTACACTTTTCTCAAGGGTTTCATAGATGGGTTTGGAAAGGGCAATTTCTTGGTTTCTCAGTTGTAAATGTTTGCACTGAGGTCAACGGCAAAATTAAACTCTACATTCTCTGGCTCCGCTGTTTGATGATCAGTAAACAAGAAACCAGTACAAGCAGGCACCCATCAGCTCCAGACTCACACCCACAGCTTCAACTGGATATTTAAGGAGCTTGGCTTTTAAAAATATATACTGACTTTTCCAATATTGTTAAGAACCAGTGAAAATAGAGATGTTTAAAATTTCTGTTGCTAACTGCTTAGAGCCTTTTCCCTTTCAGGTGTTAAAAACAAACATAATACCTGAGTGAGCCAGCACACACACCATGTTTCCTCCTTGTCCATCCCTCTAGTAAATGCTTCTTCCCTCCAACACAGACTGAAGTTCAACCCTTTATCTTCCTCCGCTTGAACCACTGACCACCACCCCCAAAAGGCATCTTGACCAACAGGGTGGGTCTGCCCTCCACTTTCGCCATACAGAGACAGACAGCCCAGCCCATAACACTGACGTGGAAAGGAGCCAAACAGCTAATACCACATTTTATATGCTGCAGTTAATACACACCACTTCTCATCTGTCATCACTCCACAAAACAACCCATGGTATGCTGCCTATGGCTGCAGAAGTAGGAGAAGGTAAATCAGGAATGAGGGGGCAGTATTTTTCAGAAAGTATAAACGAGATACAATGAAACAGTCAGGCTGAAACCAACCTTGGGAAGGTACTTTCTCTTGCAGTACATCATTAAATTAATGACCTCTTTGCCACAGGATATTATAAGGGTGAAAAATATAAATGGGTTTAAAAGGCACAAGGCTAGTCTGTGGGGAAGAATCACTAGTAGCTGTTAAGAGTGGTCTGGATGCAGTGCTTGGCTCAGGCAAGCCCTGAAACCACTGCTCGTGAGAGGCTGCCTGGGGAAGAGTTACACTCAGCACACCCAGTTCCCCAAACACCTTCTCTCAGGGCTGGAGGTACCATCCTCAGTGAGACAGGTTACTGGTCCTGTCACATAATGCTGTTGTGTCCTCACTTCTCTTTTGCTGACATCCAGACATACTTCCCTCCCTTGGGTACTCCATATGCTGAACTGCAGCCTCTCTTCCCCTCCTGGGCTGCGGGCACAGACACAACTGGCTGCCACTCACACCCAAGATCTTGGCTTGGCCAAGAGACTGTAGCACTGCTTCCTGCCACAGCGCAAGGCTGTTGCAGACAAGGGTAGGGAGCAGGCAGAGAGGCTTTGGAAAGCTGTCTGTATTCAGTGCTGGTACTTTGTTGCAGGGAGATGCTGGGGTCGTCCCCCTGCTACTAGCATTTGCCTAGTGAAAAAAAAAAAAGAGGAAAGATGTTCTTGGAATTTGGCTTAAAACTAAGAATTAGAAGAAAAGAAAATCAACTCTACTTGTGCCTCAAATTTCCTGCATAATGTCAAGTGAAATTGTATGCTACCTAAGGAAGGAGATAACATTTCTTTCCTATTAGTTGCTGTCTTGCTCCTTTACACTGTAAGCTGCTCAATGACTGTCTCTTACAACAGTAGGAGTACTTACACACACTATACAGGAACCTGTACAACAGGGTCTTGATCTCATTTGGAGAAAGCCCTGCACTACTATAATAAACACAATGCTCTTACCTCTTTACTTTGTCATACCTGTGTATGACATTTTCAAAAGAAAGCATTGGAGTAATTGTAACACGTTTGTTATATCAACATATAAATGTCACCTGTTAAAATGTGAAGGCAAGACTTCTGCCCTACTAAGTGCTACAGTCTATGTTAAGATCTATTTCAACATATTTACATTCCTGCCATTCCAAAAGCACCTGCATACCGTGAACACAAAGTCACTACAAACGGAGTCACTAGGAACGATTAATAAATCCCTATTGCCGCCTCTGCCAGTTCTCCTGTGTGCGGGCAGGTTTCCCAACAGAGAAAGACTGCCTTATTATCCCTGCTTTATGGGTGATAGGGCTTAAAGGGTAGGACTAGAAGTTGGTGTTACATAATTCTTATGTTTGAACAGCCTCTCCAAAAGGGACAGCTTTTAGCTTTTCCTAATGATGGTCAGATTCATCAGCTCTTCTCTGGAAATTTAAGCCATGGCTATTGTATCTTCAATGTGAAATAAAAAGAAATAAGTAGAAAAAAACTCTGTGAACTTTACTTTCTGAGGACATATAGTTTTCACATACTGTAGTGGGAGAAATGTACCATGCTGCTTTATTTTCTTGGTTTTTTTTTGGAAGGGGATGAAGGTGAAAAAGGAGATAGAGGAGAAGTGGGCAAACAAGGGAAGGTTGGACCAAAAGGACCAAAAGGTATTTATGACAATTTGTTGGCTATTACTGGTATATGAATATATTTACACACAACTGTACTGGTGCATATGATTAGTGATGTTTAATGCTTTTACTTCCTGCTGCACCAGTGGATTTCACAATCCTGTCAAACATTAATCAGTGAAACTAACAATACTCAGAGAGCTTGGTGCAATTCCTACCAATACGTAAAACAGCTATGTATGGCAATAAATTTAAAGAGTCACGTAATAAACCAGTGCATTTACTGCTGCTCTCCAAAGTGCTGCCCTGAGTGAGTTTCAGAAGACCCAGATGATATGCATAATCAGAAACGTTACTGTTCTTTTACTGAAATGATCCTTTAGTTGAAGCTGCATTTTGAAACCTTAAATTCACCCTGTTATTATTGTTACAATAAACAAACTTCTCCATTTTTAAATGTATTCATATGACTTTGCTTCTCACCTTAAAATGAAGATCAGTTAAGATACCAGAGAATCAACTAACCAAGCATCTACCAAGCATCTCAGTGATGTTAAATTCAGTATGCAAACTGAGGCTCCCTAAATTGGGCTGTCATCATTAGACAGCTATTTTAGGACTTAAATTATTAATCAGTTAAAAAGGCAACTGTCACTTTGATGCTCTGAGGACTGGGAATGCATATACAGCAAATCTAGTAGCTCCCTATTTCCAATCCTGCTTTGAGAAGGATTCCCAGAAAGCCACGAGGACTTTAACTCAAGGAAAAAGGAAAGGCTTTTGTCTGGGGTGGATAAAAAACCCAACCAACAAATAAACCTGTGATCGGTCTGTTTTGTTGTGAGGTAAAATCAGTATTTGAATACTCACTGGCAGTTTTATCCTACAGCAGCAGAGATCTGTGCTGTCCTCCTCCCACCATCCTCGGGGCTCCACTCATTTCGACATTGCCACACATGCAGCCTGGCCATGCTCAGGAAATAGAGCAGCAGTACAGACCTAAACAGTACCTTGGGAAAGAAATGACAGAAGCCATCCATACTCTTTTCCTCTTTTTTTTTTTTTTTCCCCCTCTTAGGAAACAAAGGATCTGTGGGGGATGTTGGTGACCAGGGAATGCTTGGGAAAATAGGTCCAATTGGTGGAAAGGGTAAGCTCTGGTCTGGGAATTTTCTTGGTTTTTTTTCCTTAAGGTAAATATGTGTTTTGTGAGAGTTCCAGGTATGGAGCAATGTCAAATAATGGTTATGACCAATGGGCTCCAAGTAGTGTTATGCATAAGACTGATGAGAGCTAACTAAAATATTTATTTCTTATTTCCCATGTGTAATATATCAGACTTATTTTGCTAAAATAATCTGCTTTATGAGTTAGGAAATCAATCCCCTTCAATGGTAAAAGAGGAAGGGAAAAATCTGGCCCTTGTGAAGTAAATTCTCTGCGGGCTGTAAAAGAGAAAGCCAAATTTGTGCCTCTGCTTTGGATGCTGAAGGCCTAAGTCTGTTGCTGTTGCTCAGGATGCCACACCTTGTAATCTGCATTCCTGTGGGACACATGAGCAAACAATGCACAGGACAGCTGGGTAAGGAAAGGATTTTAGGAGTTTTAAGAAAGCACTCACGTAACCAGGGACAACAACTACTTGTAAATCAAGGTAGACTCCAAGTCTACCTGGACAAAAATTTCATGAAATTATGCTCTAGTCATCTGACAAGAGGCTCAGGTATTCCTTTTCAGTATTCCTAAAGAGCTACTAAAGAAGGAATATTACTTCTGCCACAAGGAGACCTGCCTTGAAAGCTGAGCAGGGACACCACCATCCCCAGGGGAACTGTGTGGTCTCTAACCAGTGCATCAACCCAGGCATGCGGGTGAGTGGGTGGAACAATCTCTCCAGGGAGCTTCCCAAGCCAGTGTTTTTAGTAAACCTTTGATGGCCTCTAGCCAACCTCAGTATCAGAGAAGAACAAAAGAATTTGGCCTGAGGGACAAATTTTCAGAAGTACCTAGACAAGGGAAAACACAGTTATCTCCCAAGATGTCTTCAATCACCAAAGCAGACTAGAATTTAAGAATCCCACAAATTGCTTATCTGTATCTGTAAGCAAACCAATGCTCTGAGCCTTTAAATCAAGCTCCCGCTCAACCTCAGTGTACAATTTATTGTCCTCTTAAGCTAGTTTTTCTCATTTTCTTTCTTTATTTGCAGAAGCAAAGGTCACTAAGTCACTGTTTAAATCTACCATTAAACATTGAAGTTCTTAATGAAGCAACCCTGAAATTTCAGCTTGTAAATGTGCAGTGTCAAGCAATGCTAAATAAAATGACAGTCAACTCCTAATTTCTTTAAAAAAAACACAGCCATAAAAAGGAAAAAGCACTTCAAAACATGGCCATCAACAAGGTACAGCAAGAATTAGTATTTTTTGACCTCTGAAGGTTTTAATTCATAAAAGAAGAGGTGACACGAATTTCAGATATAGCCCAGCTCTTCCTGATGCAAATTACTGCTGAGGCTTTTTAAAAAGCTAGTGAGCTCCACTCACATAGCAGCACAGCATTTAGAGAAGTATTTCTATCATTTTTTTGATTTACAGAAAAAGAGGAAAGTGGTTGGATGAAAATAAATCACATTTCTATGAACCATATGAAATGAAACGCAGCTCCTTACTGACCTCATTTCGTGCAGGAGCTAAACGCTGCCCGCACAGGCAACCTGTTGCACACATGAATTCAGTGGCTTAGTGCACATCAGCCACAGTTGGTGCCTCATCCCTTCACGGGGCTACTGAACCCAGGGAGGGGCTGTGTCCTGCAAGGCAATGAACAGAACACAGGTCTTACCTCCCACAGATTTCTTGAGTGCTTTCAGCCTCCCAGGATCATTGTGCAGTTTATATTTAAAGTAAGTGGTACCAGGAACCAGCAGCACACGAGATGCCTGTGTTATCAGTGAGTTAGCTATTAAAGGGTTCTCCTTATTTCCATACACCAGAATTAATCATGGTTTGTTTGACTTGGCACATCTGCCAGTACAGTACATCAGTGCTTCCTATCAGAAAAACACCATTACTATATTATTAAACAGGTTTTTTTCAAATAATGCTCCCCTGACATGTGCATTCTCTGAGATCTGAGAATATATATTCCTCTTTATTCAGGTGACAAAGGAGCCAAAGGCTTATCAGGTGTGTCTGGAAAAAAGGGGAAAGCAGGTATGCTATGCATCTTTCTCTGCAGAATATCTTTGATTTCAGAGTTGGTTTGTCTGGAGTTTCACAAAATTTTGAGGCCCATGGACAAAATTGAGAATAGGTGAGACAAACAGGAAGGAACTGAAAACACTTTGTTTAGCAAAATGAAGGCTGGGTAGGGCATGACTGAGGGCCATGAATATACCAACATATACAAAATATGGAGAAGAGTTACCTAAATTAATGGGCAATGTTTGACATCATCAAAACTAACATGTATTTATACTAGAAACTAGAAGAAAGTTTTTGAATACCAAGGGAATTAAGTCCTTTAAGAGTTTCCTAACATGAGCATGGGGACAAAAACCACAAGTGATTTTAGATAGAGCATAATCTGTTGTGAAATGAATGCAACACATCTGCTTACAGGAGAAGAATTTGGATCTGATGCCCCAGAAGGTTTTTCTCAATCCTAATGACCTTGAATGTTTTCTTGCCTTGAACAGCCATTTTCAGGAGATTTCATCTGCAATGCCTGTTTGGTACTTAATGGGAAACCATCAGTAATGGATTGTCTTCCTGAGAATACGAGAGTAACAAAAAAAAAAACACTATACAAAGCCAAATTTCAGTTTAACCACAACAACAAAAAAAACCACCTGAGACTTCAGGACTTGAAAGTTATTGATTATTTGAGTTGGTATCGACTATTTCTGCAGTAACACAGCTGCATGCAGCAGCTCACTGGCATGGTCCTTCCGCCAAAGTTCTGCCAATCTCACCTCTGTGCATACACACAAAAGTCCTTCACTGAGAAAACGGTAGTTCCCCATTTCATGGAGACTGTTGTTTCTACTAGAAGACGAGGGAAGTGGTGCTGTCTATGGGTACAAAGGTAGACCTTTGGCATTCTGATGTAACACTATAGCGATCACCACAACAAGCCACGTCTCTGCAGCTAGACGGAATCAATAATGAAAGAAGCAGAGGATGTGCAAATCCCACACTGATACAGGTGGAAAGAAGAAGGCAAACTCTTCTATCCACATTTTCAAAAGTAGGAATCCTTAACCCAGTTAGCAAGAGAGTACACAAAGCCAAAATATTAAGCGCTTTGATCAACTGGAGTATGGCCAGCAGCGCAGGGTGAGACTGGCTATCCACAAGTTTGGGGGGACCTTTTTACAAGGGCCTGTAGTGACAGGACAAGGGGTAATGGCTTTAAATTGAAAGTGGGGAGGTTTAGATTAGATATCAGTAAGAAGTTCTTCCCGGAGAGGGTGGTGAGGCACTGGAACAGGTTGCCCAGAGAATTTGCAGATGCCTGTCTTCAAGGCCAGGCTGGACGAGGCTTTGAGCAACCTGGTCTAGTGGAAGGTGTCCCTGCCCATGGCAGGGGGGTTGGAACTAGATGGTCTTTAAGGTCCTTCCAGCTCAAACCATTGTATGATTCTTTGGTTCTGTAAGTTGAAGGCAAGTCTTCAGAAAGTTTGGAAGTGGGCTACAGCTGACCCTCCACACATGCAGACAACTGCTTCTAAACAAATAAATCCTCTATCCTTTGTATTGCATCAGGCACGGTCTGCGACTGTGGAAGATACCGCAGAGTTGTTGGACAACTGAATATCAACGTTGCTCGTCTTAACACGTCCATCAAGTTTGTAAAGAACGGTAAGGATCCTTATGTATTCGATATGATTAATTGGCTCCTGTCACGTTTATCATTGCTGTTCTTCTACCATTGCTGCTCCATGGCAGCATCCATAGATGAGCTGGAGAGCAGGTTCCACTGTGCAAGGCACTCCAAAAACATACAGAAAAGAGACAGTCACACATGGCAGGATATAGGCAACAGATGACTAAAAGCAAAAACACTACAGAAATCAGCAGCAGCACAACAGAAAGAATCATGAAAAGCACAAGGCACAGCTGGCTAACCGCCTCTGCGCTGTCAGTCTGCTCAGGCTCGGCTGCTGCTCAGGCAATGAAAGGAAAAGGTTTGTGCCAATCTGCTCCAGAGAGGCAGGAAAAGCAATAGGAACCTCTTCATCTTTCTGCTGCACAGGAAGGCTGCAGACATGGTACTCCTAATGTTCCCCTCAGTGCAAGCAGCATTCTCCTGTAACAAGGGACCGACACACAAAGACACGGCTTACAAGAAGCCAGGTTTGAGGGCGGCGCTGTCAGGACAAACTGCCCCCACTGAAAGGGAGGCAGCATGTTTCCTGGCATAGCAGAGGATTTTGAGAAGGCTCCACTGCTGCTTCTAGGACTGTAACAGTAAATTAAATGTGTTTGAGACTGTTCTCTAGCACTGCAGGCAACCAGCACAGAACAGTACCCATTTATATTATTAAATCCTACAAAACTGAATGCCATATTATCAGGACTGTCCCTCTACTAAACTGTGTCTGGGGCAACTCCTGAACTGTTTGGGAGTGTTAGCAGCCCCAGGCCAAAGCTCTGCTCTGGACCATTCCAGCAATCCCTCAGCAGGGACAACCAACTTCCAGCTGCCTAGACATGCTCCTTGGCACTGCTTAATTCACTAGGATATAGGCTGGTTGACAAATTTTAAGCCTTTTAAGGCTACTAAGGAGCCACAGATTTCCTCTTAGTCAATGCGACTTGGTGTCTACAGCAGCTCTGAATATCAGGCTGTATTTAAAATGTCATATTTTAGCAGTCACATTGATTTTCCTCTACATGGAAAGGGCTTGAAAAGCTATCTGTACCCCTGTGTTTCTATCCCAGGGCACTTTTCACAATCTACATTCAAAAACATGCAAAGCAACGGGGGTAATCCAGAGTTAGACATTGCTCTTTGACCATTTAGCATGCCTTACTCTGGTTAGCACTAGATAACCGTGAAGTAAAACTTAAGTGTCACAGCAGACACATGCCAATCAGGACTTACGCATGCGAAGTGCTTGTCAGTCCCATTCGTAACATCGGTCTCTGATCGCATCTTTATCATTCATCACAAATTCAGTGGTGGGAATACTCTTCCTCTCTCCCTTTTATTAATTCTAATGTAAAAATCATCTCATTGTCATACTGGAAGAGAAGCAATTTCAATATCTGTTGACGTGCCATTAAGCAATTTTTCCCCCTTTAAAGTTATAGCAGGTATCAGGGAGACAGACGAGAAATTCTACTACATCGTGAAAGAAGAGAAGAATTACAGAGAAGCCTTGATCCACTGCAGGGACAGAGGAGGAGCACTGGCCATGCCTAAAGACGAGGCAACCAATGCCCTGATTGCTGACTACATCTCTGACAGTGGCCTCTTCCGAGCCTTCATTGGGCTGAACGACATGGAAAAAGAAGGACAGTTTGTGTATGCAGACAACAGCCCACTGCAGAACTACAGTAACTGGAAGGAAGGGGAGCCTCACGACCCCGCTGGCCATGAGGACTGTGTGGAAATGCTCAGCACGGGAGAGTGGAATGACTCAGAGTGTCAGGTCACCATCTACTTTGTCTGTGAATTCCTCAAGAAGAGGAAATAAAAGTGCCGCAGAACGTGCCTGGCACCTGCTGTGCATATAATAACCCCTCCACATTCATTCACTGTCGGGAGAACAGACAACCAGGGATAGGGCTCAACCCGGCCTTCACCTCACCGCGGTACACAAAAGCAACTACTGTAGCTGGCCGTGACCATCAAGCCAGCACAGGTCTGCAGGCGGCATCAGCCACTTGTGAAATTTTATTTCATTTCCATGTGTAATTTAGGGTAGGCATTTCTACAGGTAATTTAGGGGCAAATTTAAAGCACACTGAGGTGAATATGATTTCACTAATGCCAGAAATAATAAACTCACTGGCATATGAACCACTGATGTGCTTTGCAAAGTCCACAGATGGAAAGAGTATGATCTCTACTTAACTTTGACTTGTGCAGGAAGTCCCAGTAATTTCCCTGGAAAGTTCAGAACTGAGAGAACAGATCTGCAGGTTCTTTTGAAAAAATCCTTCTTTCGTTAGAACCATAGAGTAATTTATATTGGAAGGGATCTCTGGAGGTCATCTGGTGGAATCTTCCATGCAAAGCAGGGACAAATTCAAACCTAGATTAGAAGTTGTCATACCCTCCTTAATTTGGCTGTGCAATTATGTTGCCTGATATGCAGGGGAGGACTCACTTAGCTCTGCTTCCAACGTCATCATCCATCAGGCTGGTCTGAGGTGTGAGGAATTCACTTAGCAATGGCGCTTCTGCATGCAAGACTGCACAGCTTGTAGGCAATCTGAGAATAGATGGAGCAGTTCTAGCCTCTGATGTTCCCCAAAATCTGTGAAAAACACAGAAAAGTCTATCACAAAGAAAACAGAAGCTACACCATTGCTGTAGGCTGTAAACAGGGACATGTAGTATCAGCTACACCAATGCACATTGCTGGTTTAACCAGCGATTCTAGGAACATGTTAACCTCTAACTCAGTAGCCAGTGACATTTAATGGCTAACGCTAAAATCACCCACACCTCTGCAACACAGGAAGCAGCTATAGAACAGGCTTTATCCCCCAAGAACCAGATTCAGGTGTGGTTGAGCACCGTACTCATGCACTGCAGCAGTATCTCCACAACCGGTGAGCAGTTAGTGTGAAGGCTTTGCTGTCAGAGCCCGGCTACTCAGATTTCCATGTCACTATGCCCACAATGTATCCTATTTTCATATCTTTGATAGTACTGAAGGAGCTCTTTTCGGAAGTGAAACTGTTCTTGGTTGTGGTTCACCTTTCCTCACAGCAGGAGATGTCAAGAGAAATCCCAGGGCCCCTGCAATAAGGGTCTAAAGATTTTCTTTCCCACTTCACACTAAAAATTAAGGAATGATATCTGGAGGCTGAGGAAAATGCAAGGCAGCAGTCACAGTGCCGCAAGTGTTCCTGCAGGTCACTGAGCACTGGTTGCACATAGTCTTCCTGTGGGCATATGAAGAGCTCGACATACTAGTAGTAATGCAGAGGATCAGCTCCAAGTCTCCCTTCTACTGCCATGTACAGCACTGCAAAAGCAACTAGACAACAGTCATACATCCTCAACCTCACCCTCAACAGGAAAATCCTCCAAACCATTTAGCTGGCTGGTAGTTTGACTCCAGGCTCATGTCTGAGCAATGACCAACGCAGGACCATCCCAGGAGACTCTGTGACTCAGAACCACTCTTGTAATCCAGCTTCTCTGCCACTTGTTCCTCCAGAAAATCACCTCTTGCCACCAGCAGTAAATTATCTGTGTTGCTACACATGCTCAGACCCGTGAATGAAGGGGTGGGACCACATTTCCTTTCATTGCTCCCCTAACTCTGCTATGGGAGTATTTGGGCAAACAGGTCTGCTCAGCACAACATCAGTCATTCTGAATTGTTCCCTTCCTGGGAATTAGTATTCCTCAAAATTATCAGCATTACACTTTTTAGGATCTATAGTAATAAACTCATTAAGCTAAACACTGGTTTTTAGAATCATTAATGAGTAATGATAAAGCATTAATGGCTAAGGCAAAGTTTCTTGAGGAAAAGTAATGCCTTTAAAACTTCAAGCCCAGGGCTGCTAGCTCACCCACAGCAGGTCGGTTTTTATTAGTCATGTAAGAGTGGCACAGTAAAATCCCTGTGGGTAGGCACAATCACACTGATACCCTCTCTACACCTCATGTTTACTTCTGACCCAAGAAGTCACCAAAACATGCCTGCCAGGCTGGGGAACCTTCTAGCCATACTGACACCACTGGCTGACAAAATCCAGAAGTGTCCTTAATCCTACAATCACGATGAACAGGCCATTTGCTTGTTCTTTAGGAGGAGACTCAGGGCTTGGAGAAGGTGGAAGAGGAGCAGTACTTTGCTTCAGGACCAAGCCCTGTCTGAGATTGGACCAGGCACTCTCCCTCATGTAGAAAATCAGGGAATACATGTCTAAACTGAAAATCTGATCTTTTAGGAGACCGTGAGTTACAAATAATCCTGAAGCATGCTCCAGGTCTGGGAAGGAGTGACTGTCACAATCTCTGGCTGCAAGGCTGAGGGAAGCGAGTGAGGAACTTGTGTTGGGTTTCTGCAGTGGAAAGGCTGGAACTGCACAGTTCCTGCATCCTCCTCCTCTCCTACCACACCAGCTTCATCCTTTCTTAAATAGAAAAAATAAACAAACCCAACCCTTCTACCCACTGTGTATTCATGTTACACTGGGCAAGGCTATACCAGTTGAAACAAGTAGACCTGGGTGGCCATTTCTTTGCTAACTACAGAAGAGGCACAGCACGGATGTTCAACCTAGCCAGGCAGAAGTGAGGTCAGGTGCTCATGCACTGGGTTCCTACAGCACTGGGCCCTAGTTAATACATTTTGCCAAGAAACCTAGCTTGCAGGCCAAGCCAAATAAAAGAGGCTATCCTGCACAGGAAACCTGGCAGGTAGGTCCACACAGCTCTACACCATGCCATGCAGACACAAGCTTGAGCCTGGACTAATTCAAATACTATAGCTGTGTTTTGCAGAAAATATATTCTTGTTAGAATTAAGAATTTGGGCTATATCACAGGTTTCACTGCTAGCCAATGAAAATTCACTGTGGTGGGTAAAGTACCTTTGGTTTCTACACCAAGAGGATGGAGCCAGGAGCACAGGAAATGGCGTCTGACTATTCAGGATTTATGATCTGTTAGAGCTTGGCACCTAAATCATTTTATCCAATCTCAATATTATGTTTTTCCCATGTTTTTCTTTTCATTTTTCCAAGTCTGAACCTTTCTTGTTTCAACTTACGCCTGCTATTTCTTGTCCATCCACCTATCACCACTGTGAAGAGCCTGGCTTCGTCTTCTCAGAGACCCCCTCATAGGTCCTGGGAGGCTGCTGTGAGGTCCACCTGAAGCCACCTCTTCTCCAGGCTGAACAAATTGGGTTCCCTTAGATCCTCCTCACATGGCTCTGGCTACAACCATCTTGGGGGCCCTCAGCTGAACCTGGCTCCAATTCTTCAATACCTCTCCTGTACTGGGGGGCTCAAAAGGACACAGTGTCCAGATGTGGTCTAACAGGTGCTGAGCTGGCAGATAATCCCTTCTTTCAAGCTTCTGGCTGTGCTCCCATTGGCACAGCCCAGGATGCTGTTAGCCGCCTTTGCTGCCAGGACACACTCCTGACACACGGGCAGCGTGCTGTCTGCCAGGGCTCCCCAGGACCTTCTCAGTACAGCCAGTCAGCCCCAGCCTGTACCAGTGCAAGGACTTGGCATTCCTAAATGAAGGAAACTTTGCATTTGTCCTTGTTCAATTTCATAAGGTTCTTGTTGGCCTATTCCTCCAGCCTGCCTAGATTCCTCTGTATGGCAGGCCTGCCTGCCAGTGTATCCACTGTTTCCTCCAATTTGGGATCATCTGCTAACCTGAGGAAAAGTGGACTTTATCACCTCCTCCATGTAATTGATAAAGATGTTAAACTGGACAATCCCAGCATACAGACCCCTGTAGCACTCTGTTTGTCCTCTGGGTAGAGTACAACTCAGTTACTCCTCTGAGCCCAATCATCCAACTGATTTTCACCCATCTGGTTGTCCACCCAGCCAGACCATAACATCCTAACTCAGATGCAAGAATGTTGTTGGAGACAGTGTCAAAAGCCTTGCTGAATTTAAGTGTCATCCACTGCTCTCCCCTCATCCACAAATCCAGTCATTTTATCACTGAATTTGTCAGTGTGAACTTATCAGTGAACTTGTCTGGCTTGTCAGGCATGATTTACCCATGGTAGATACAGCTGATCATTCCCAGTCAGCTTCTCTTCTTTCATATGCCCAGAACTGTGTTCCAAGAGGACTCGCACCGTGAAGTTCCACAGAGAGCAAGATGATGCTGATAAGCTTATAGTTCCCTAGACTGCCTTTCTGTCCTTTCTGGAGGCTGCAACATTCACCTATTTCCAGTCATTAGGAACCTTCCATGATCTTCATAACCTTTCAGACATGGTAGAGTGGTGTTGCAGAGACCAATTCTCTCAGCACCTTGGATGTGGTCTGTCTGGTCCCATGGAGCTTTCCAGTCAAACTCTCACAAGTAATCCCTGACTCAACCCTCAGGTACTGCTGGTAGTTCTCTTTGAACCCTTGCCCTAAGCACAGAGGAATGGGATAACTTGCTGGTAAAGAAGACAAAGAAACCATTGAATAGAATACCTCAGCTTTATCTGCGTCTGCTGTCACGACATCATCTCCATTCAGCAGTCATCCCACGTTTTCCTTGCACCGTCTTTTTATACTAAGATACCAGTGGAAGCTCTTCTTGTTAGGCTTCCCGTGCAAGTCTCAACTGCATTTAAGCTTTGGATCTCCTGAGGCTACCCCCACATACTAAATTCTTCCACTGCAGCCTGTCCATCTCCTCTATACTGCCTTTTTGCGCTGGAGCTCCACCAAGCTCCCTGATTAGCCACACCAACCTACTGATATATCTGCTATAAGGGAGACCTTATAGCATGAAGGGGGCCTACAAGGAAGCTGGGAG